AGTTCACCAAGATCCAGAAATCTGGAATGAAGGAAAAATATGTTATTCCTACTAATATCCAACGTTTTTCCAAAGAAACTACATTTGTTGTTGAAAGGACTTGAAATCCAGAGTTCCTTGTCCTTGTATTTGCAGCTGCGTGCATATTCGTCATAAAGGAAGTAGTGGATATCCTTCACTTCTCCATTGTGGTACTGGGCACCTTGAGACATTGGGGAACTGTAATGGTTTTCTCTGTGGTTAGAAAGTGAAGTTTCTCCTTGAGAAGGCATTGAGATCTTGTTGTCAGATAAGTTGATGATTTTGAAGCTTTTCAGGTTCCTAAGGAGGCTGAGATGTGCTATCTTTATGAAGTTTGTGCCGAGATCAATGACCTCCAGTTTGCTCAAATTAGCCAAAGGTCGGATGTCTTCCTGTGTGAGTTCTTGAAACACATACCCTCTGATTCTTAGGACCTTCAGAGATTTAAGGTAATGGAATGATCTTGAAAGGTTGAGGGATGCAGGATACACCTGGAGCTCGTAATTGAAAGACAGATCCAACTCTTCTAGATTAGGCAACAACGAAGGAAACGAGGTGCATGTGATCTCCTTAGCCAAAAAGTTGCTTGAGAGGTCTAGAAGACTAAGTTGAGTCAGGTTTTGAAACCACTCCAAAGGGATGTGCGTTAGAGAGTTACTATGAAGTCGAAGAGTCTTTAGGTTCTTCAGGGTCTTGAAGGAGTTTGGATGTATCTGAAGGGGAGCATTATTTGGGCATGGAACGCATGGGAAAGGTGCATTATAACAACGTGGACAATTCCCACTCAAGTCCAGTATCTCCAGCTCTGTCAGGTTGTGAAAGTCCATCTCTGTTATTGTCTGAATATTGTTGTTGTACAGGTACAACTCTTTGAGGCTGGATGGTAGTTGGTGGGGGATGTAGGACAAGTTGTTAGACTTCAGAGAAAGCAAAGTCATCTTGTCAAGCTGCACAAACGCATCCTTTTCAATGTAATATGATGTGTTGCACGGGTTACGGAAGTAGCAGTTCTGGCCAAGATACAGCGTCTGGATATTACTCAGTTCTGTCAGGTTCTCCTTAAGGATTGAATAAATACTATTGACCTCGAGACTCAGAAGCACTATGTTGGGAGGAAGGCCCTTGGGTATGCTGGACAGCTGGTTACCATCCAAATAAAGCGACTTGAGGTTCTTTAGCTTCCAGAACGTGCCGTTGTCAATCGTCAAGCTCTGGGTGCAGATGCGGTCTTTGGGCCCGACCTTGATTGGTACGCAGTTGCAGCGCAGGTCGATCTCAGTGATGTTGTGCAGTTTGTGAAACGAATCGTTCGCAATATGGGGTATATGGTTGATCGTTAGCGTCAAATTGGTGGTATTCGTTGGGATTCCCAAAGGAACTTCGGTTAGGTCTCGTTCAGTGCAGTCGACGCTAACCTCACTCCCGTTACTAGCCAGAGAAACATCACACTTCAGACTTTTGGGGTACCACTCGGCTGCATGCAGAAAAGAGATGAGACCGGCAAAGATGATGAATGTCTTCTCTGTCATCTGAAAGAGGAAGATAGCATGTGTTAAAATGTAGAATAATGATAAAATATGAACTCATGAGGCTACATACAGTAATTGTCATTTTTAAACTTGACACATTCCTACTCGTTATGCACTCTCAGGAAAAAAAAAGGTAAATAGCTGTCACTGGGGAGGCAACCGTTCAAAAATATACACATTTGTATCTTATGTACCCCTAAATTGTGCATATTAGTACCTAAAGTGTTGATAGTAGTACCAAAACTGTACATGTTAGTACATTTTGAAAAGGTACCATATATATACATGAGTGAATGAAGTATGTTTTTGGCCTGCAGATCTTTACATAGTCCTGTTTAACACATTTCACATGTCTACAGTAAAAAA